TACGACCTGCACATGCCGCACATTTTTCATAGTTTATTTGCAATCAATTCTGCAGTTGCAGTTACTACAAAATTACTAGAGCTATATATAGCTAAAATATATAGATATGGGCACTACGACGACGACGCCTCGACCCATAAATCTAGCCATATTTATGACCCTGCAATTCGGATAGCTGCGACAGGTGCAACAGCTGCCCCAAGGTCGACGGCTTTCGACACTTTCAGCTGGCACAGCTTAACAGGAAGTTAAAATTGCTGTTAAAACTTAACGTGCACATTTCAAAAGACATTATCACATTCCTGGGCAGATTACAAGCAAGGGTCAAGGGTCACTAATCTCATTCTGATTTCTACAGATAGCCAGATTTCAACAAGGCGCCTATCAAAACTTGTCCGAGGAACACCTCAATCAAACTTAGATTGAAATATTGACAACGCTGTCAAAATAATTTGTAGCAATAGTAAAATGTGAATCGTAACAATGTAATGTGCATTAAATCAAGCAACCATTTCAAGATTATTTCTGATCACAAGCAAACGAATCAGTTCCCGAAAGATGTAAAGCTTAAAGAACGTTTAAGCGTCGGACTGACAAGCGAGAAGTCGCCAGTTCAAATTTGTATATGATCTCATAACGAAACGAATCAGTTGTCGACAGATGTGAAGTTTCAGGAACCCTGTCAGCTGGGAAATTTACGCGTCGGACCAACAAGAGAAAAGTCGCTAGTTCACATCAAGCCGCAATTGTTAAACAGCATAGACGCATGATAGTATAATATGAAGCTTTCCATATAACTGGAATTTAAGGGAATCATACATTCAATTTTATTTAATTTTTTTGTTCGAAGAAGCAGTTTTAGGGTATCCACTAGTCGGGAACTCCCGACTCTTACTTGTTTCTCCTAAATCTCTTACTCTATGTCTCTGCCTCTATTTAACCTTCTGTAGATCTCTTGTTCTCCCTCATAATATCGCCTTTTATTGGACTATTAAATGCATTTGTGCGTGAGTCATTAAGGAAACACCTTAACCTTCAGCCTGATTTCAACACAATAAGCCCTCGCCGCCCACCTACTACCCATTGTCTTTTTCGTCACCCGCGATCCCCTCCCTCTCCCCCCAGCAAGTTTTCACATGTGCAATTTTTTATTTCTTTTATTACATTTGGGTGCATTCTTTTATTTTGCTGCTTGTAAACATTTTGCGCTCGTTATTTGTCGAGTCGACGGCGAGGCTGGCGCCAGAATCGGCTGCCTTCTGCTATTATAATACCCGAGCCAGTTGCGTCCGCTTTCGTCCCGTTGCTCATACGCCGCGTTGCACTTTTTACGGGTTTCCCATTGCCTTACAGCCGGCGACAATGTTTGCCCTACAACAACAACAAAGTAAACGAGTTTGAAGCGTTGCAAGCTGCAAGAATCCTTTTGTTGCGTTCTCCTCAATCGCTGTTTGCATGTCTTTGATTGAAGCAGAAGAGAGGGACAGAGGGAGGGACTAAGAGAGAGAGAGAGAGAAAGTAATAGAGAGTAGTAGTTCATTAATTTTGTTAACCCCAAGAAACTACTTTACCTCAAAAGGGTGTTTGTCTTTTCAATTCCACCCGCAAACGTGGAAAATAAGTGAACAACTGTTTGGGGTACCTTTTTGTTTATAACGCGAGTGGTTGCTTTAAACTCAGTTCAAATAATTTTGGAAGCATGTGTTCATTCACATTTTCCAGAGTATCGTAAACGTCGCTCATTTCTGCGCCTCAGTCTGCCTCCGTTTCACATGGCGTATGCGTATTTTGCAGGCAAGTCGAAGAACGGGGCATGCAAAAGGGGCAAGTGGCATGTGGCAAGTGGAAGGTGGCAAGTGGCAAGTGTCCGTTAAGTGTCAGACGAATGTCACGTGGCACACGTTGTAAATCCTCCCGAAAAAAGCGCAACAATTCACGCAGACAAACACTTTGTAAAAATCACTTATGACAGATGAGAGCCACAGGAAGAGGGCGGTGGGGAGGGGCGGCGAGGTGGGGGAAGACGGGCTGCGGCACACGAAATCGCAGTCAGCGACAAGTGTCAACGCTGCGCGAAGATCGGGGGTAGGGAGGGTAACGCATGCGGCTGACTGGGGAACTGCTGCACTTGCTCACAATTGAATCGTCAAACGGGGCTTGGGGGCGGCTGCGGGGCGGGTTCGGGGCAGCCCGCATGAATGGGCATCCTTTTGCCTGTCGCCTGCGCTGTGACAGCAATTAACACCAAAGCCAAAATGCTGCAGCCAGAGGGGGGAGGGGGGAGGGGTGGGTAGCCAGAAGGTGGGGCGACAATGTGCGAATGGTTTTGGACTTTTGGGGTCTTGAGGTTTTTGATGGCAGCTCGTTCGACTACACTTAAAGAAAAACTACACTGCCTTTGAGTTCAACTGCAGGAGAATATTAAGTAAAAACAATTTTTGAGCTGGAATGTTCTTAAATTAAGTATAAAAACGTTAGAAATGGAATGCTATTCAAAATAAGTGTTTGAAGTTGGAATGTTTTTCAATTAAGTATGAATTTAATTCATGAACATATTATATATGTTCAGAATAATTTACTTTGGTTTAAGTGTAAAATACTTAGAACAAGATTTAATTCAATTTAAGTGCAAAACAATTTTGCTAAGTTCTAGTATTATTGTGAGAAAATAAGAGAAGTATTTTTGATTAAGACAAAAGAAATTGTCTTAGGCCATATTTATTTAAATTAAATTTTATCGCACCTCAAAAAATTGCAAAAAAATAAAACGGAAACTATGTGAAGTATTTTCAAATATGTCTAAAAAAAATACTTTTAAGAGAAACTTAATTGAGATAAAATATGTTTTGGTTTAGTTTTTTTTTTTTCAATCAAATTGGGCTTAAGTTATTTTCATTTTCTGTTTAGGAAATTGCGAACTAGTTTCTTTTTTTTTTAGTTTTTTTTTTAATTTAATTTGAGCATAAAAAATGTGCTGGCTATTTTCGCTCAGTGCACAGTCACGGGCTGTTGCCTGTCGCTGTGTTGTTGTGTTGCGGAAATTGAATTTGCGGCAATCCTATGCCACTTGCCAGCCCCCAATGCCACCCCCCCCCCCCCCCGTATTTTCCTCCTCTTTCGCCTTTCTGGCTGCCGCCTGGCCTGTCACTTAATAGCTGACATTTGTGAGGGTCCCTGGCAAAGAGCTGGCTTCGGGCATTTTGCTTGCAACTTTGTTGCACTTTCCAAGTAATTGGTCATCATTGCGCCACGCCTCAAATGGTGACAGCTGCCCAGGGGGGCGTGAGGCGGTGGAGCGGTGTCGGATACAAGAGAACATCTCGTTGCACTTTCCAAGTATTTTGGCATATTCATATTGTTTCTATTTGGACTCGCACCCTTCACATGTCAATTTTGTACAGAGAAATTCTCATGTCATCATTTGTCATCCCGGCAATGCAAAGACCCGGAAGTCTTGCCGCCCGACAGCCCAGTGGGCGGGCAGGGGGCTAGTTTCCCGAAAAAAAAAAAATAAGAAAAACATTTCTAGAAAATTATTTGTGACATTTCGTAATTGCTCAACTGCAATTGGTAAAGGAGAGGAGAGGAGAGGACAGCAGGGCAGTGGGAGAATCACAGCTCGCATCTATTTCGGGCACCTTTTCACATTTGCAGCTCGCTGAATTTTCAGGAATTGCACCCACATTGAAAGATGATATCTATCTATGGCTACTTTGATGACAAGTTTTTCCCGGGAAACTTATCTTTTACGGAGAAGCAATGTCGCAAAGTCGCGGAAAATGTCGCACAAATAGCACTTTCCGATCATTTTGTTTAACTTTAAGAAAGTTTCGTGGAAACACAATGAAAGTTAGAAACGGGTGCGAAGAATATTGAAACCAATTTCAATTTTGTATAATAAGGATATCAAAAATAGAGGGAAAGACATTTCCAAAATGGCGCTGCCCCTGAAAATCGGTGAAGATAGTTTGAAGTCCAGAAGGGGCCTCTAATGGGGATCTGACAGTTCTAGACTATAGAACTGGGAACCCTTTCAAACGATTAAAGTTATATTATATTAGCATTACATATTTAACAATAATTAACATCATTTACAATTTGAAGACAAATGATCCAAAGATTCCAATATAATCCCAAGAAAAATTGCAAATTTTTGCAATTTGCTTCATGTCTGGGAACTAGTTTTATCACAAAAGAATCAAGCCGGAAGCTGTTCAATAGATCACGTTTATATAAAAATTATCTAACTCTAACCGCTTCGTTTTCATAGATAGATAGATCTTACATTTAAATTGCGTTAAATAATGCCTTTACAGACAGGTTATCGCCTCAGCTGTCGATAAATCGTGGAATCAAGTTCATTGAAATTAGAAAATTAATTTAATTGCATAGCCAGCTGTTGGATTTAATGTGCATTGTTGATAATCATTGTCGATTCTAGTTAAGAAATTCCAATTTCCAGACAGGCGCCAGACAACAACAAATATTATTTAAATACCGCATTACGTAAAACCTGGAAGACGAGTGGCAAAAAATCCCCGTTGGAATCTTCACTTGCCGCTGAAGTGAATGCGTTTCATTTGCTGTCTCTTTCCAGTGCTTCCAGCGTCATTAATTGCTTTAGCTGGCTTTGCTGGCTTTTCCCAAATGACTTTATTTGTTATTGTTGCTGTAACGTTCAGCTTAGTGAATTTCTGCGAATTCGCCGTTGATGATTTATTTTTAAACATTTTTCGTCGTAATTGAGCATTCCGAAAGTTGCCATTTTTAATGGGTTTCTGCTTTCTGGAAATACGCCGATATAAAAATAATATTAAGACGGCTGAAAAAAAAACCCAATTTGCATAATAAAATTGCATAAATTGTGCAAACTATCGAAATGCGGGCGAACAGAAAAGAAGCAGAAGCGAATTGCCAACTCATGGCCAAAGAATTGTATACACATATTTATTTATTTCTTTACGTTTTCTCTTTGGTTATTTTCTCTTCTTCTTCTTCAGGTAAGGCCATTAAAAATTGCAATGGAAAAACAGATGCGTTTCAGTGTAAACAATAACAAAATTTTGGCATTGGAAATGGCTGGAAACGTGCTTTGGCATTTGTTTGTTATTGTTGTTGTTGTTGCTGCTGAACAGCCTTCACTAATAAACCGTTATGCAATGTGCCAAAGCAGATAACAAAGCAGAAAGAGCAATACAACAGCAACAACAACAACAACAACAGCTGCAAACTGTAATTGAAGCTTTGGCTGGAAATTAATGGAAGCCGAGTCGCATTTGGACTTTGGAGCCGACTCGAAGTGAGAGTGGGAAATCTGAAGTGAATTAACGGTTAACGAATTAACTCTTAAATAGGTGAGTGTATGTGTGCATGTGTGTGTGATTTGAGAAGCTTTGCAGTCAACGCAAGATCGTTAAGAGTATTCTTTATGTAAATTAAGAGAGTCCTAGTTAAAGCACGTGGCAAAAGGAAGAGATTAGCGATGGCACTTTTTACGCAACTTAAAGCGAAAATATCCCTTTTATCGTAAATCAACTGCCAAATATGCATGAGTTGGAAAATTTTTCGAATTCACTAAATAATATGAAAAAATAAATAATACAAATTACAAACAGCTAACATTAGGCGCGTCCCTCGCTAAGTCAGCTCCTCTCTTCCCCCCTGGCCGGCGTCCAAGTTCCCGTTACTAATATCTTCAATTTACAGCTATATTTCCCACTCAACACGCACATTACAGTTTTTTATATTCAATTTTCCCATTGTCGTGCATTTCCCTTGCTATCTGCTTCTGCTTCTTCTTCTGCGTTCAGGGTTGTTTTTTTGATTGATTTCTTTTAGTGTGTCTTTTTGTTTTTGTGTGCCTTTTATTGCTAATAAATATTCAAATGATTTTGTTTATAATAAACTTGAAGCCCCTTGTCACTCAGTTATGAGCGCAACTATTCCAATATCTTATCTACAGTCAAGTCAAATCCCCCCACCTCCCCGCCCTTTCCCTTCTCTATCATTTGCTGTTATTCAAATGGTCTCACATTTGTTTTGACACATAAATAACGTTAACTTTAACATTGTATTTACGGCAATTAAAGCGACAAATTCGAAGTGGGGGTCTCTCACCCGCCACCCGCCCCCCTTTCCCATATCAACCCCCTGACACAGGCACTGTTGTGGTTCATTCAACTTACGAAGAAAATAGGAACACAAATTGTTTATTTTGATTTGTGCTTCATTTGAAGAAGACGAAGAGGAAGAAGAAGAAGACGAAGGAGAAGAAAAGGAGCATTAAACAGATGACAGACAGAGAGCAAAGACAAAAGACTCCCGCTTGCAGTGTGTACACACCTTGCCTGTATCTGTATGTGTGTGTGTGTGTGTCTGTGTGTGTGGGGAAGACACTGAAAGCGCGCCAATAAACTTTACATTTCTAATTTTATGAACTCGTAATGGGAATGAGAATGGAATCGGGAATGGGAAATGGGAAATGGGATAGGGAAACGCTGCGAGGGGGAAGCGCAAGTTGATCAATTTTACAAACGTAACGTAAAATGTACTCGCAAGCAACAGCAACAACGGCGACAACAACAAAAACCACTCGCGTACAGTTTACAACAAAAAACAACAACAGAGCAACCGCGTCGGCAGCAGCAGCAACAGCAGCAGCAGCAGCGCAGCGGCAGCAGCGACGCGTCGCAGCCGCAAGAAGAAGCAGTTTGTAACGAACTAGAGTGGGGAGAGACAGAATGCCAGCAAAAACAGAGCAGGCAAGCGCAAAGAGGCAATGTTACGAAAGTGTATGCATGGCATAAGAGAGCAATAGAGCGCTTGCCATTTACCATTTCGTTTCCCATAGGAATACGTTGGCATTGGGCCAGAAGAGTAGCGCGCAAAATGAACACTTAGGTTCCACAGTTCATTTGTGCGGCGCTCTCTTAACAAATTACTGTACGCTCTCTGCGTACCATTGCCAACTGTACCCGCTGCGCTGCCATTCCAATCCGATTTGAGTACACACACAGGCGCACAGTGCAACAGAGAGCCGCACCGCCCCGACTTGCCGCTGACATAAAAACCCCTCGCCCAGCGGCTGTGGATCAAAATAAATCGTAAATAATTTTGTTTTCCTTCTTCTTCTTCTTCGTTGCGGCGGCGGCGTCTGTACGCGCGCCTCTCTGTCTCTCTCTCTCTTTCACTCACTGTTGCTCTTCCGTCTCTGTCTACTACGCGATGCGTTGTATGAATGGAATGGTTGGGGCCGCGTCCGTTGTGTGCGAGTGTGTGTAGAGAGCCAAAGAGAGCGCAGTGTGGCGCTGTTGTTGTTGTTGTTGTCGTAGTATGCAGTAGTATTTGAGTATTTTTTCTGCTAGCCGTTGTGCTGCTGCTTCTGCTGCGCCTTTCTGAAATCCGATAACCAGTGTGCGAGCGAGACAAAAGAATAACAAACAATTATAATTTGTGTGCGTGTGAGCGAGTCGCAGCTGTGTGTGTGTGTGTGGAATGGGAATTTCACAACAGCAGCCGAGCGAGCGAGCGAGCGAGCCTCGTGCCAATTTCACTTGTGCTCGGCGCTGTTGTAATTTTACAACGCTTACGTGCTGCCTGCGCGTGTGTGTGCATGTGTGTGTGTGTGCATGTGTGTGTGTGTGTCTACGTCTTAGGCAGGGCCAGACGTTGAGGGAGGGTTTGCCTGCAGACGAGATGTCGTTGTGTGCGCGCGTGTAAAAGGTCTCGTAACGAAAAACGAAATAAAAACAAAAACTGAAGACAACAAGAAGAAGCAGCCGCAGCAGCAGACGTTTTGTTGTTGTGCAGATTGTGCTGCTCGTTGTTGTTGTTGTTGTTGTTGTTGTTGTCTCTGCTTAGTGTGTGAGCTTGTGTGTGTGTGTGTGTGCGTGTGTGTGTGGGCAGACGCGGTGATGTGCGTGCTGCGGGTCACGACGGGGCTGTCCGACTATTCTAGAAAGACGCCCGCCGATAGGCGCACGCCCGATGCGATAGTCCGATAGTCGCTTGTCAAAAACGTAAGAAAAAGAAAAAAACGATAAAATAAACATCTGTGTATTGTCTGTTGGGTAAAAAATATGCTTGTACTTAGATACGATTCTCGGAAATATATTTCGTCTATAGCTGGGCTCAAAATACAACACAAGTAACATAAATTCATGTATGTGTGCACACATGTGTGTATGTGTGGGTGAAGAATTATGTGAGTTGCAATACCCTACATTATCTACTATACTATGCTATATACCAATTAGTATACCTACTAAATTATATACATACATACATACATATATATAAACATTCTATACAGAGAAAACTCTGTTAAGCGGACACTGGCAGTTGGTTAGTTTCTGTCTGCTTAAAAGAAGTGTCCGCTTAATAGAGGCAGCTGATTGGAGCTGATTCTGCCTAATAGAAGTGTCCGTTGGGAGGGTTCTGCTTGTACAGGCTTACATTCCTACACATAGAGACTTCAAAAAAAAAAGAAATCCTCTCAACATGTAATTTCCCTTAGTTTGTATTTTGGAAATTAACTGAATGACATTCAAACTGCAGAAGATGAAACCACAAAAAAAACTCGTTAAACATACAAAATATTCTCGCCCTAAATAATGGTGTTTTTTTTATATATCTTATCGTATTCAAACTGATATTCACGCTTTTTGGCAAAATTCCCGGCAAATCGGGTAATTCCTTCAGGCAATTTTATTTCCCAAGCAACAGCTCGATTTCCATTTCAGGGAATTTCTAAAATCCCAAACAATAAAACTAATCAAAAAAAAAATATATATATATATATGGAAAATACCCCTTAAAACATAAAAAAAAAAACAACAACAGCGAATGCAAACAACTGATAGCACAATCTATGAAGGCGCATAAGAAAACTTTATTCGGGGAAATTTTCCACTAAGTATTACGAATTACACACACACACACACACATACATGCATAGATATATCTTAATATATGCTAGTTCCCAGGCTGAAGAAAAGTTTCCCCCTGTCGAAGGGAATTCGAAGCTAATCCGCGTGATGGATGCGCTCCAGGTGAATGCGCTAATCCCACTGGCAGGTGGTGCCACCAGCTGAGGCGGGTGAAGGCAGCGCGAACTGGAGCAGGGGGAGCAGGAGTGGGAGGGGTTGGGGTCGGCGTAGGAGTTGTGATAAAAGCCACACAAAAATGATGCAATGTGATCGACTGCTGGCAGCTCGAATGAATGGGCGCAAGGCGGTGGGAGGGGCTGCGGCTGCTCGAGTGTTGCAATGCCAATGTCTTCTTCTTCTGCTTCTTCTTCTTCTTGTTCATTGTCTTTTGGCTGCCTTTTGCGGTGCGTACGTGCCGCACGTTGCGTGCCGCACTTCACACTCGCCGCACCCTAACCCCGCACTTTACGCACTTCTCGCACTGCATTTTCATTATCATGTAAACAAAGCGATAACTCAGCCTGTCGACAGGCCCGACTGCCACACACACACACACACACACACACACACACACACACACACACACACAGCTGCAATAAGAACAACAAAGCAATTATTGAGTTGCCACAGCAGAAGGTAAAGGTGACCAACTGCCCCTGCTCCTGCCCCCAGATCCAGTTGCGGCTCACGTGCGCGTGTGTCCTTCAGCTCCTTACTGCCCGCCCCTTGCCTTCCCTCCCCCTCTATCCACACGCTACCGCCTGCCACACGCTAAACGATCGTTTACCCATGGAATTCCAAATGCGTGCGACACCAACTCCGACTCGACCTTCTCCTCCTTCTTCGCTGGCAACTCCGCCTCCTCCTCATGCGACTTGCAGCTGAATTATGGGGCAACGTCTGATTTATGGCATTTACCGCCCGCTTAGATTTCAGATATCTTACTGCGATAAAAGGAATTGGAATTGGAATTGGTTTGGGAATTGAAAACTCGGCGAGGGGCGCACACTTGAGCTATTTATGATGCTAGCTTCCGAGCGTGTGGATAGGCCCCAAATAGAATACTGAAAAACGGAGTTTAGATCATTTTGATTGTATGTATCTCTTTATTTAGCTGCTGACAAATGGGCTGCCCACGCTAATAGCTTAACAATTAAACGATAAACGGAAAAATAATAAGTTAATTGCCGAAGTATTTATTATTATTTTTTCATTCCTCAATAGCTGAGTTATCCAAAGCTATTCCAAATTGAGAATTCGACAACAAGTATCTTAGTCGAAGTCTTCGCTCAAAACAGTGTTTAACAGCACTGATTGTTTTAAGCTGTTGTTTAACAACATTGATTGGCTTGAGCTGTTGTTTAACACTTCAGCATAAGTTCTGAAAAGTCTCTGCGCACCTTTCGATTTTTTCTTGACTTTTTTCTCTGGTTTAGTTTAAGTCTCGGATTAATTTTATTCAGCTGTTGTTGAACACTATTTTCTGTAAGTCTCTATAGAATCAATATCACGTTTGTCAAATGCGTGTCTAGCTGCCTTTCTCTCTCTCTCTCTCTCTCGCTGTTCAACACTTTTTTCCTTAATTTTCCACTAAATCAATTTTATACTGTATGTCAAGCTAGCTCTGTCTCTCATTTCCTCTCTCTCTCCATGTCATCCTCTTTCCTCTTCTGTCTCTCTCTCTCTGAATAATTTTATTTAGCTGCTGTTCAACACTGTATTCATAATGTCTCCACTGCCATTTTTGCACACTCTTTGCCTCTTGCCCTTAATTTTCTTGTTCTCTTTCTCTATTTATCGCTTCTTACGCTCTGTAAAATATTGGTTAGTTTTCTCTAAAAGTGTCCAATGCCTCAGCACTTTCTTTCTTAATTTTTCATTGAATCAATTTCACTTTAGCACACTGTTTGCCTGGCTAACTGCATCTCTCTTGCTCTCTTCTTCTCTGTCACTCCCGTCCAACATTTTCATCGATTTTCTTTTCTTAAAGTCTCCGATTAAAGTGGTCTTTATAAACATTGCATAATTCTATTCAGCTGCTGTTCAACACTTTTGCCTAAGGTCTCTCACTGATTCAATTTCACTTTTGCACACTGTCTATCTGCTCCCCTCTTTTCCTCTCTCTTTCCTCGTGTCTGTCTATCATCTTTATCGGCTTTTAGCCCACCACCTGGCTGCCCACCTGGTCTCCATTGTAACGCAATCTCTGGCCACAAAAGACATCAAGGCGAAAGTGGAAGTCCAACTCGAATTGGTCACCAATTGCAGTTGTACCCCTCTCTTTTCCCCGCCCCTCCCCTGCGTTGCATCCTGCAGTTTTATGGAGCAAATTTATGTGGCATTCGCCATTTGCATAAAACTAATTTTGCCAAGACGCGGGACAATTGCTTACATAACCGGTCGCCGCCCGCCACCCAAGCGACGGGGCAGCCAGACGGAGACGGAGCCCGAAGCCGGGCCAGACCAGACTCCAGATAACGCCAGATCTGTTTGCATTAGGTAGCAGCTCCCCCCTCCCCGACCCCCTCGGTGCGGCTCTTTGCGAAAATGGATTAGCGTGGGTTCACATGAACCGACCAAATGTTTGGCTTTCATAAAGTCTGACAGGTTGTTGGTCCAAGAGTAGGAAGGGGGGAGGGGGGAACTATGCCACGCTGGCGTGAATAAATATGAAGCCATGAAATTGTAGGCAAAGTGGGCGGGGGGAGGGTACAAAAAGTTCCCGCCAAAAGCGCGAAAATTTGCAAACGTCGCTGGCGACAGTTTGACAAAAGCCCCGTTGCACGTGCGCTGCCGCAGCAGATGCCACAAGCACTCAAACCATGCCCCCTCTGCACCCTGCCACGCCCTTCCTGCCACCCGAGCCCCTAGCAATCCCCGCCAGGCGTCGCTTACTTCGATGTCAAGTTACGAGCTGCGACGCCGCCTCGCACGGGCATTTTTCAATTAAAAGCGAGTTTGTAGCCGGCAGCGGGGGGTACGTGCAGGGCAGCAGGGGAGGGGGGGGGGGGGTGGGGCTTGGGGGCAATCTGGCGCTGTAACCCGATAGCCGGCGGCGAGGCCGTCGCCTGGACCCTGGTCGAGACCCGAGTCCGACGCTGTTGCTCTCCGCCTTATCTGCATTTGGCGCGCAAAAATTGAACCGCCCGAAACGGCGCGCAGACAAATGCAGAGTTGCATTTTCCAGTGGCAGGGATAGTGACAGTTAGAGGGGGAGGGGGGGGGGGCAGCCACTGGCAAATTGTTTGCTTTTGTTTTGTCGCAGCGTTTTGTTTGTAAACATCCCAAATGAAATCAACTTTGCTGATGGCCCATTTTTGCTTCTGTTTTTTTTTCCTCGACAGAGACGACACCGAAAATTGGCTGCAGTTAGGGCAAGGGGGTCCTGAGGGAGAGGGGGTAGGGGTAGAGTTTATCAAGCAGGTCTAATTCTTACTCTACTTTCAAGAGAAGTGCAAGTCAAGTGGTGCCTGGAAGAGAATAGAGACTCAGGTCTTGATTGAAAGAAGCCAAGTTATTAGAGAATTAAAAAAAATATAAGATGTAGCAAAATATACGAAGAGTAAAGAACTGATGGGGCAAGATAGTATATATATATATATATGTATATAGCTTGAGAGTCAAGAAGGCTGTTTGCCTAATAGGAGTGTGCATTAGGATAAGCATCTGCCTCAGTTTCTCTCTTTAGTTAACGAGCAATTATAATTCTCAACTAGGTTAAGTCAAAGGTCTATTGAAGGTATCTCTAATTTATTTCTATGTATTTTAGTACATTTTGTATAACGAAAAACCGGAAAACTTTTTGGGATTCAGCGTTATTTATGTGGCATAACTGAAGGATTCTGGGTAAGTCTCCCAGTTAACTATCATTCGGCATGGATTATGCCCAGTTCAAGGCTAAATCTTTTTTTAATAGTTTTATATATAAATTATAATCAAAATGCTACATATTTATCTCTCTCCCTATCTCTCGCTTTAATATACACTCTGCACATTTATTATACTATAGGGTATTTGCACTTCGATCAGCCTTCAGCTTTCCTCTTTCTCTGTGTTTTTTTTTTCTGGTCTCTCTCCACATTTCTCTGGCGACGTGCGTGGAAATTCAATGCAAATTCGCTTTTTATTAGCCCAGCTGCTTCTTCTAGTTATCCCCACTGCCTGACGCCCCCACCCTCTCACCCACCACACCCCCTCTCAATAGCCGCCCTCTGCTACAAGCCTGTCACTGGCTTTATATTTATTTATTTTTGATTTGAGCGCCAGCAGCAGCAACAACAACGACCATCAGATCAGTCCGGAGACAACTCCCAGCTATCCCGTTCCTCTTTGCCCCTCCCCGTCACTCCGCTTTGCTTTCACATCGACGTGTGCAGGCCAAGAACTATAAATTTCATGGCCCGGCAAAAGCATCGACTTTGAAACGATTTGTTACGCATTTCGTGTCAACTATGAATAAAATATTGGAGCCACTGAAAAGCCACAAAAACAGCAACAACAACGAATCGAGAGGTAGAAAAAAAAAGAGGAAGATACATATATATACGTACACGCAAAAACAAAGACAACACATTGAACTAAAAACTTTTTCAATGGACATTTATCAAACGAGGACGCATAATTTACATTTTATTAAAAAATGTTTCTTGAAATGGGATATGAGATACTCGAGACATGGCTGCGAGTCGGCCAACTGGAGATTGCGAATGAGCTGTAAGGCAGGCAGGAGCAGGAGAAGAGGGTTCAAAGCAGAAATAAATCATGAGAGATGATAATAAAATACGAACATCAGATCAGTCTGAAGACAACTCCTATGACATCTTCTATAAGCTCTATTTTAGGGAAAATAATAAATCTCTACCCAAATTAATAATATCAAAGTTCTCTAGTCTCTGGGACTTATATAAGAACTAAAGCAGGGGCTCGAAAAATATATTTAGAATTTAGAACAATTGCCGAATTTTATTTTAGTTGAAAATGTTTTTTAAAATATATACCATTGATATTTGATTTGATTGGTTGAAAATCGATAGTAGGGATCCGTACGAGCTCAACTGACATCAAAGTCGAATTTCTGCTGCCCTTATAAAAACATTGGATGTTATTTCATTCTAAGCTCCATTGAAAGTGAGTTTCTATTGCCCGCTAAGGCCGTAAATCTCTACACAAATCAAACTTTGCGGCTTTTAAGTAAGCCAGCCAAAGCCAGTTAAACCTTTAAGGACATCGCACAAAGCAGAATCGAAGAACATTTCCGCTTCCAACTCGCGCTTGGCGAGTGAGACGTCTTTATGCTCCCAAATTTATGATATTTTATTTAGAAATCTATTAACTTGTATTTATGGAGAACTAATTTCCTCTGCTTGCCAACAGGCCCCACAGAACGTAGCGTGCCACAGCGAGACTCGCTTATGCTGACCCCCTTTCCAGAGTTCCCCTTTTGCTGGACAGGCCCACAAATCAAACGAATGAGATCGAAACAAAAGTTTACAAAATAATTTAAAAAAAAAATATGGAAAAAAAAAATTGAAAGAAAAGACCTTCAGGCAGGCCTCAAAAGTGTGGCCCAGCCCCAAGGAAAAGTCAACCACTTCTTGTTGATGTTTCTTCTTTTTTTTTTTGACTTCGCAGCACTTGCGGTTGCTGGTGGTAGGGCAGGGAGGCGGAGGACTGGCCAGATGGAAAGGGGACGGGCTGCCAGCACAAATACAAGCAACATACTCACACATGTCCTGCCCCTGCCCCAGTTCCTGCCCCTGCCCGGAGAGAAACCACAGTAGTCCTCGCTCGTCAACACGAAAAATGAAAACGCATGGGCACGAAATTTCCGCTTCCGTTTCCCGTTGCTGTCAAAGTGGCCCAGGCAGGACGAGGGACAGTTGAGTGGGGACAGTGGCGAGGGGAGCACCCACAGCCACGCCTTTGCCAATAGATGCGTAAAATGTTTCGGATGCGACGGAGTTGGGGCGCGTGTGACAAACTGGACAAAGGCAGCGGCGCATGCCAAACAAACCGCTGTGGAGTGGGGTGTAGGGCGGGTGGTCTGTCCTGGTTTTCATTGTGGCGCACGCCATTCAAGTGCGGAAACGGAAGCAGCTCCAAAGCGGGCGCCGGACGAGCGCCACAAAACCAAACCAAACACAATAAGCGCTTCATAAACGCCATTTTTCACCAGCGTCAAGGATAAACACACGCAGCTCCGAATTGGGTCAAGTTTGTACGTGTGTGTGCGTGTATAACTGTGTGTGTGTGTGTGTGTGCCTTATAAACGTTTCACAGTTTTTGCCACTTGAGACAGACAACGAGTCAGCGGCAGTCAACAGCATGAAGTAGCCCTCGACAAGGACCCAGCCTCGACGACGCACGGGCGACTTGCCTGTTAGCCGAGTCGAGGCCAAATCAGCTGCCACCCCCTGCCCCTCTTAGCCGTGCCTGTTCCAGTTTCAGTGCAGCAGCCGTGCCTCAAGCCCGCCCCCTAGACGCAGCCCAGTTCCGAACTCAGCTGCCATTCAGACGCGCTTCGTCCTCTGCCTGCCAATTCCTGAGACACAGCTTCGTGTGAATCACGCGTCGTTTTCACAGTTGACAGTTTTTAAATAATTGCCCAGAGCCAGCTCGAGGGGCGGGCAGGAGCGCAGCAGGACAGCATGCGGGCAGAATCTGTGACTTAATAAAAATTCTACATACTCAGAAATCAAATAGCACGAATTAGACGCCGAAAATCAAGAGGACAGAATCATTTTGGATCGGTAAAAAGGGAAAGTTGCAGGAATATTTATACTCTTGTAGAGGGAATGTGCTATATTTAGAAGGAGACAATTCCAGTCCCATTAAGTATATGTGTTCGACTGTCCGTTTGTCCTTCAGTCTGTTTCCGTGTGAACTCAGTTTAAGGGTTTTAGTCTTAAATCTGAAATCTGGCATAGAACATATCACATAGCTGCCGTAGGAAACATCGACACCTTTTTCCAAGATCCAAGACTCTTCCATCTAGGTCCACACTTACGAGCTTCGCTAATCAGCAAAAGGGAAATGTCCACAAGTGTATTAAATCGTCGGCTTTTTTCTCGTTTTTCATTAACATAATTTAATTTCTACCGGCTCATTGCGAAGCTATTTCTAATTCCCTATAAGATAAACCCAGAGTAACCCTCGCACTTCCCAATCTTTAAGAATCGAGAACTTTGCATCCAATTGAAATTGAAAGCTAAAGATGTGGTTACATAAACTGATTGCCTCATCCGTTTTCTTTGGGCATTTCCGTAGTTAGCTATTCCACCTCCACAGCCCGAATGATGAGTGGGTGTTGCGGAAGGTGTGGGAACAAGTTCGCGGTGGAACCTTTCAAAAGTCGCGCGCTTTTGTTTGCTTTTGAAGTGCGCGGGTGTGTGTGTGTGTGTGTGCGAGTGTGTGTTGGTGTGTGTGCCTGCCAAAATTGTTTATTGAAGTGAATTTGAGAGGAAAATTGCTTTATATTAAATGAAAATGGCGTCGCATTTGGCATTATGGTTAAGAGTAGCTGCTAGCCCAGGGGCTGACAGTATGACTATGGTGAGGGGAGGGGAGGGGGGACGGGGTGAGAGGGTCTGGGCTGAGTCACAGAACTAGTTCGCTTTGAGAGCATTGTTGTTGTATATCGTTTGCATTGCTTTTTGATGTCTCTAAGTGCTGTCATTGTCTATGGCTGCCCCAAAGGGATTCCACAACGACGGCTTCCAATTCGCTTTTCACATTTCCCAATTGCCAAGCGATGTTAATGATTGCGTCGTAGAGGGGGGCAAGGCAGTCAAAGGCGTATCAAGAACAGCTAAATTGGTTATTGAATGGTGGGTGGGGAGCACAGGGGGAGGGTAGGGAAACGCACATAGAAGACAATCTACTTTATGGGCGGCTAGTTAATGCAATTATGCAAAAGGTTTTCCAGCATTTGAAGAGATGAAAATAACTTGAAAATTCAAATATAAAATATACCCGGTTTTGAACCTTTATTTGCCTCCCTTTATTATGATTCAAATTTTCTTTTTACTTTTTCGCCTTTGCTTGCTTACATTGTTATGTTACTTAACATTGCCGTTATGTTACTAACATAGCTGTTATTGTAAGCGCTAACAGCGCTCTGTTCAACTCGAACTTTCCAACACTTGAGCAACTTTGCACTTTTTTTTCTGTTCGTTAACTTTTCTACTCATTTAGCCTCAAGTTGGCCGCATCTATTATTAAACCGTTTTGGCTTAAATCTTCCACTGTTCACATTTTTGACTTTGTATCCCCTCTGTTCGTGCCCTCTCCCCTTCCCTTCCGCTCCTCTTGTGCAGTGCAGCAACTCTTCATGCCATTCACAGTGCTGTGTAAATATTTTTTAATGCAAATAAAAGATAAGCCAGAAATTGTTCGTAACGACCTCAAAACTCTTGACTCCCACTGTTCACTTTTGGGTACTGCTATCTGCCCCCCGCCCCACCCCTTCCCTCCTCTCTTCAAGTTAGCCGCATGACGTTGCACTTTCACAAGGTGCACAAGCGACGGGAGAGGCGGTTGGAGAGGAGAGTTAAAATGCTGGAAAAATGCCACAAGAAAAAAAAAAACAGGAAAATGTAAACGTAAATCAAGATAATATAATCACAGCTCTAAAACCGAATCGAGCGAAAGACATGCAACACAAAAAAAAAAAAAAAAAATGAAAAATAAATAAATAAACAGCCGCCCCTGCGACTCCCGAAACGGGCCAACTCGTGGCCCCGTCTCCTATGTCCCTGCACCCCACCCCTCTCCACCCGCTCCCACCGCCCGCTGGCGGCATCTCATAAAACCTTTTTATGACATGCAGTCAAAAGCCAAAGCCAAAC